ATATCGAGATAGATAGAGGAGTAAGAAATGGTGCAGCGGACAATCAAATGAAGCCTGCCGAGGCGCAACCAGGCGGCGCGAGCTTTATTGCATTCATTGCAAGCTGTGACGTGTATCGCGCCGCCGCCGCCGGCAATCCGTAGCAATGCGACCAACACTGATAAATGTATGGTCCACTTGGGCACTCTGGATTTGAAATGGACAAAGAAACGAGAGGAAACCATAATTTAAAAATAAAATGTCGTAAAATCAAACATCAGCGTTATTAGACGGATGTGATTACTATTTGTCACAAGACACGTAGAACTAGAACACATTGTGAGTAAAACCAACTATTATTATGTAATAACAAAAGTATGAAGGCACCGCCAACCTGACGCGGTGGTATCAGATGCTTGTACAATTAGATTTGCGAGCTGGTGTCGAGCAGGTGATGACGTCACACGACATCTCGGCGCGTCACTGCCGTGCCCACCTGTCACGTCCTATTTAAGTTTCCCAGCTCCCAACCAAACTTAGTGGTTCATAATGTCGGCTCTGACGTACTTCCAACCTCTGAATATTGCCTTTCGCTTTATTATTTACATATTCTCAAATATTATACCACACTACATAGAGAGTTCAAGACTGAAATGTATCTTGTGTTAGTTCTGAAACAAATGACTAACATCACAAAGCGTGTCTGCTACACAAAGCTATAGTAATTAACTGATTGTAATTACTATTGAATAGTCTTCAGGCTAGTACTACTATCAGAATATAGAAGCGAGACTATAGTACACATAGCATGATAGCACTTATAGGAGTCTAATACGTGGTGGGTGACAGATACAACGCGATATAAGCCATGCACCGAATAGAACAATAATATAATAATACGAGAACTCTTAGACAGAGGCAGGTAAATATAATTAATGATTTAACATCTGAATAAAGCCGTCTACTAACGTCCACCAACATACGACGCATATTTAAATTAACAAGTCACCAAATTATAATCGGACTTGCAGCACTAGTAACGACAGTAGTTACCACAGGTCTTCATATACTGGTGGCACCAAACAACATATTTCAGATACAATTTCTTAATATCGTCCTGACCTTACCTCCCGCAACACTTACAGGCTCCTGACTTACCTCCAAAACGAAATTATTTAGACAAAGACCGTTCGGCTGTGATTTAGGGCAGCCCTGCTTCGGCCGGACTTAGGGCTGGCAATAAATTAATGTTTCGTAAACAATTTGCGGAGAGTTTAATATGGTAACTTACTGCTCAAAATATTACCACGCTGATCATGAGTTTGAGTTTACTGACTCGACGCGCGCCTTGTGCGTTGCGGGTTATTGGTAATGTCACTAGGAATTACAGAAAATGCTGGTAGCCCTAAAGTTTGGCATTGACTTTATATCTCAATCTTGAACTTTGTCGATGAATATTGCATGGCACGGTGTTTAGTCCCGCGCGCCTCCCCGGTATGCTAATTGAGTAGCCTCCACCGAGCCACTGCCACCGCTCACTGTTGTAAACTGCTCGTTTCTTTGTGACTTCCGAATCAAGCTCCTACTTCTTAATCACGTACAGTTGATACTGTACTTATATTACATGTATTTAATTAAGAGAAACCAACACATGTTGTTGTATATCGAAAGATAATAACCATCTTTATGTTTCTGACAGCGCTATTTGGCGCTTGTTTACTTACTAGTACTAGAAATGTGTTAGTTGTTAATTTTGTTAATTACATAACTATGTACATACAATGTACGTAACAACCAGGCCACCGCTACCGATCACTTGTTTATTATTCATTACGTGCAAATTATCAGTACATACAGACATATACATACATGCTGTACAAACAAGTAGGAAGCAGGAGCACAGACATAGGCAGGAGTTTACCTAATACTTGCAGTAATATCGAAACTTATAGCAAGTCAATGTTAGCATTGATAGCTTCCTGAAACTATATCAATAGCTTGCATAAGAAACCTATTACACTGCGAACTTGGCCCGGGGCAGAAACACATATACTATCATTATTGAGTTGGTACACACGTACACACGAACACATACTTACACAGTGATCATCATGGGATATGATACTGAATCATTGCACATGCTGCATTATATGAAATCCACTTGAAAAGGAACTTGTACTGAGCACTAACGAGTTTTTATTTATTTATATTTTTAAAATCAGGACAACAGGAAATCGACAGCTTTTCCAACGAATAACGTGGTCCAAATTGAAAAACGTTTTAACATTTTGTAAATTTAGAATAAAAGGTGGACTGGATGAGGTGCGAGGGGAGCAGCTCGTTACACAAAGGCTTAGGTAATAACTGTCAGAGTGGAGTAAATTCAAAAAAAAAATTCGCTTGTAGCTTGGAGTCTGGTATTGTGCCCAGTATATGGCAATAGGCCATATATCTACCCCCTATTACATGGGACACATGACATAAATAGTTAAAAGTGGGTGTTACATTGTAGTGCCATTAAATGCCGTAATGTTCCTACCTCTTTGAGGATAAAAGGCGTTATGTTATGTGATTTAGACTGCAGGCCGACAACGTGTTGTTACTGACTTCTCCTCGAATTCAACGTTATAATTTTCTACAAAATCACGACATATTAATTTTGATGGGTCCAAGAGTCCTAATTTGTTAACTACCTATGCATGCAGGTTTTTAGGACAGCCTCGATACCGAGTTATCAACTCGATTTCAATGACATGATTATCCTGTTAAATAGTTGGCGTCGATGGGACATGAAAGATAAAATTCATGCTTTTATAAAACTTTTGCCAGATATATGGACACCGCACTACTGATACTGTCCGTCTGTTGATAAAATTGTGACGTATGACCGCATCAATCATATCCGTAATGAATTGGTTGACTCCACGTAATGATGCGAGTCGTTTTAGATGTCGCCCTTTTTGCATAGTATGTCTTACCCTTACGTTATTTGATATAGGAAGATTGATAGTTAGGAATCTATTCTAGATATTAAGGCCAATAAAGTTATTCAGGAAACCTGTGTGCCTGATACTTGACTATACTCCCTCAATACGTAGATCTTGGCGCAATTTTACTATGCATGTGTGCAATAATTCATTTGTCAATGAATTGCAGAGTAAGACTTCCCAGCAAAATAGAACAAACTAAACAGAATAAAAATAAGTTTTGTAGTATCGTAAGAATTTGAGAAGTAACAAAACATACCGTGTAAGCTGGTGTAAGCTGATACGTCTACTGTCAGGTGAGGCGTGGGACATTAGTTGCTACCAGGCGAAATAAAGTACTAAATCATTAGTTATACATTGGACCTCCTCGATATCAGTCAGTGCTGTGTGCTGACAGCGTCACGGTGACATCAGAAGTCGATGTTGTTCCCTTGACATCTCTAACGTCTCTATATAAGTCATTGTATTGTAATATTATTTTGTGCGGTGAAAATGTTATAAGTAGTGCGTAATAATGAAATGTCGCTCAGAGACGCGGGTGTAGTGCTGTTTGAGATAGTGGCATTGGTGCTGGCAGGCGTGCAAGTTCAATGTGTATACTATGTTGTAAGGGCGTGGGTGTTGATGTGGCTCACGACCGCGCTTCCATGGTAGGTGCACTCTGGTCGACGGTGGTGCTCTGTAGGCTATGGACCTGGTGGTACACGCATTGTCCGTGACCATATGCCGCGGAGTGCATCGTCCGGGGACCCCGGCGAATGGTACAACTTAAATGATATTCAGGTAAACACCAAAATTCTAAACATTACATTGCGAAAGTAAAACGAGCATTATTTTCTGGAATATGTATAACCCAATCAAACCAGACTCAGTAGTAAATCAGTTATTGTAATAAGTTTGTCGCCATTTCCCTTGTTTACGAAATACAATATAATGCAATGAATACATCAGCGGTAATATTTTTGAAAGTGTCTGTCCCCCACGTCACGTCGGTACGTCGCAGAAAAGTTAAATTGTGTCCCACCGGGGCTGCACAGGTAAGGCGGAGTATAACGCCGAAATAAGAAGGAAAACTAATTCTGTTTTATTTTTGAAATGGAGTAAATACCCGGGTCTCGAAGTCTCGATCCTTTCTCAACTGTTTTGATTATCGAGCGGAGACGAGCGCGGCTCAGCAACTTCGTGTTGTTGCGGTTTCTACGGATTCTTGTTCCTAATGCCGATTACGAACAGATTAGACTACGTTTTTCTATATTGGAAAACGAAATTTACTTTTACATGTAAACAAACCTTTTCATACGAATATAATCATTAATGCTGCTTTCCGCTGAAGCTTCATGTCATATTGATGTGTTCTTCTTCGTGGTGTAACAATTTACGAATTATTGTGTCCAATATGAGTGGGCTTTTTTATGGATAAGCCGGTAAACGAGCAAACGGATCACCGGATGGTAAGCATTCGGGGTCGCCCATGGACACCTGGAACACCAGAGGCATCGCCGGCCTTTTAGGAATGTCGGGAATTCAGGGATTGTGGAAGGGGGGGGGGAGGGGGAATTGGGCCTCCGGTAGCGTTGTATCACGTCGGTTTCCTTTGAGGCCATGGTATCACTCCGGTCAAGCCGGCCCATTCGTGCTGTAGCATGGTCCCCCACACTAAAAAACTGGTGGTAAATACTTACCTATTACTTTCATTGCACGATAATAAACCCATGTTGTTTGTGTGCATAAAGCTTTTTAAATAAAAATGAATAAATAATATACAGTATGGTCTCTGGAGGGTGGCGGGTGCTCTTACTTATCTTGTTTGGTATGTTCTGTTACAATTTGATAGGTATTTAATTGTGGTAACGTGCCTAAGTTGTTGGAAAAGTAAAAAAGGTCCAAAAGGTCTCGAGTTCAATTTCCAAGGTCGCGAAAAGTGTTTGATATTTTCAATTATGGTACTTAAATTCCGAGCCACTGTTGAGTGTCGCATTTACGTATAATATGTCAAGTTCTAGTTATTTCTGAAGCCTGTGTTTGTGTGTGCAGGTGGAAGCAGAAGGCGGCGCTGCGTCCTCGTCGCCAGCGCTGCCTCTCTGCCCCGCCGGGAGACCTGATGCCGACGTACAGCCTCTGCTCACTGAAGGTAAGTCTACCACTCCATTGATGTTTTAATTAGAATGATGATAGACATGTGACCACGTTAGAACCTATATTGATGGGCTCAGGTTGTGTGTCCTGCAGCCAAGTTAACAATGTACCTATATATAGCGTCCTCATCGGTTAGTTACGTGGTCAACAAAAAAACCTTTTTCGAGTAACACATTTGGTTCATTATTAAAGTTAGTCGACTTAGTTTCCTGGTTCTTAACTCGTCGAGTACCTACCGTCATTATAGACACAATTATAGAACAATAATAGGTTGCGGTCTTGCGGTCACCGGTGACCACTCGGTGTTTTACAGTTTAATTGAAACAGAATGGCGAATGATTCCTCTGTCGGTAAGTAATAGTTGTCGACCAATCTTAACCTCTGCGGCGGTCCCACCCTGGCTGCATTTTTAGATAGACCCATCGGGAAATCATAAATATACTAACACTAATAAATTGTTGTATAGATCAGCAAATATCGCTTCAATGATGATATATTTCAATCAATAAATTGTGCAATCCATTCAACTACGATTTATTGTTGTGAATTATTATTATACAAAAATGATGTTGCGAACCTAAAGTACTCATAAATAACGCACAGTTTTGAGCAACAAGTATTTATAAACAGATCGCGATGGTATTCCTGTACGATACACTTTTATTTCTAAACATTCTAAGTATCGGAAAATATTGTTGTAGTCTTTAAAACTGTGGACGTGACGTGACGTGTCCAGCCTGCCGCACCGTGCTTCATAGTCAGTAGACAATCGATTGATGTTGCTATAGGTAAACATTTTTTCAGCTCAAACAGTAACAAAGGCGTCGCTCTTCAGAGAAAAGAAAGCCCGTCGTACGTCCGCTGCTCAACTTATTGTTAAAATGTGACGGAAACACAATAACCGCTGAAACCAAAAAGGAAACTTTGAAATTAATTAGCATTATCTCCTCCCTGGCACAATGCAGCCTCGGACTATTCTATTTGTTTGGACAACATCGAGCCATTGAAGTGCGGCTCAAGTCATGAATACACGACATACTCGGACTCTGTTTCAAATATTTCCCGTGTCACGGGTTGAACGAGCTACTTACTATAAAGGCTGTTAAAAGTTTTAATGTTCAGATTTTGATTTTGCTTCACCTGAAGGACCAACATTTTTCATTAACTTGGATTTACATCGGGCCGAACATTATGTAGATACGGACAATTTGCCAAAGTTTTACAATAAACGTCCCGACCTGACTACTGGCTAGCCCTGGCTCTCACGTACTACGCGTGTATTATTTAATCTGACAGATTCCTAATAGCTCCATTATTTTTCTTGTCGACGTTTTTGATATCGTTTTAATATTCGCGATTCGTCTTCAAAGCCCGGGCTCATTAATCATCACGCCTCTGAGGATCACAGGAGACAAATGACTTGTCCGGCGGAAGACAAGTGACGGTCGGCTACCCTCACTACTGCGGGCGCCGGGCATCATACTCATTGTTGTCATACTCAGGCTGATAAACTAGCCACTAGCACGGCATTGTGCAGTGCTTAGTAAATATTGACAAATGGTCTAGGAAATACCTAATAGCAAAACAAATCTGAAATGCCAAGCTTGCATATTAAATAAATGAACTGGTTGGAAAGGTCACAGCAGTGAGTGGCGGAGGCGCGACTGTAAATAAGGAATGAGTTCCGGAACACTTGACTATTTGAGCAACAAACTGCAGCAGTTGCAGATACCTTTTAATCTCAGACAATTGTTTACCTGCAAATGTTAGAAAGTTGAATTTTCCATTTTCGCGTTGAATTCAAAGCAGACTGTGTATGACATGAATTGAATGACTTTTGACATTTTCTCGCAAAAGGTTTTTCATGTTTATAAAAGTTGCGCGAGATTTTTTGTTTGACAGTTATTTTCCGGGAATGAGTATTGTTCCCGGCTGAGGCCCGCGGACGGCTGCGCTATGTGTGCCGACACTGGTACAACCTGGGACAGTTGATACATAATGAGAAACTTATTGATGTTTTGTACATTATCGAGGTGTCCATGGTACCAGCCGACACAAAGCAAAGCCGAGTTGAGACAAAGCAAAGAGCGCACAGCTTGTATGTCAATATATCAATGGGTAAAGCAATTTGTGCACGTCTTTATTTCTATCTACTAGTTGTAAATGTACATACTCAGGTGAATGCTTTGTAAATGTTATTAATATTAATGTCCACTAAGTAGACCCAATACTTTATTTAATAAACGACATCAGTCAGTGTACACCTGGCTTTCTTCACCAAGTAAGCAGTGTGTTGATTGCGTCGCACCGACTGCACCGCGCCGCTCGTGCGTTCTATCGGAAGTTTCAGCTTCAGCGCTCAAATGTTACGGAAATTAAGTTCGTATTTAGAAAAACGTTGAACTTTAACGTTGTGTTAACAACACGATTATTTTTATTTACTAGCTGGAACAAACATAATTAAAAAAAAAACTTTCTGCGATATGACTAGAATTGTAAGAAATTGTATCGCTAGTTCGAACAGCCTTGGTGCACGTAAGTCTTCAACAGACATAAATCGCGCGCGACATCACTCGTGCGCAGCGTTAGTGGGCCGCCATGATGGATTTATGACAACATTCACGGCTTCGCCACAAAGAACAGATTGAGTTGTTTGCTCACTACTAGCGACCAGAGGAATAATGGAACGTACGTGCAACGCTACTGAATCTACCGAATATGTACCTCTAGATACCAATGATACATACACAGCTACGGTCTTGTCTTTACCCATTTACACTAAAAGAATCAAATTATTTTTATTTAAGTAGAACATCCACATCAGCAACTATGTCCAAACCTTTCAAGGACTGTTGATGTTGTCTCTGTATGGTTTAAGCCCTACCAGTAAACGCGCAGACACTGCGCAGTGCACTCCTTAACACACGCTGCGTGTTGCCGTTGTTGTTGTAGTCAACTGAAATCATCCGTATGTTTGTTGATCTCACGCATTCTTTGTATGAAACAAATGTCTGAGCTAGCTAGGTACATCAAGGTTAAACTGAAAAATGTGCTTTTTGTATGTTGATGAAATGTAGGTCTAGTTGGGTACTGAAATAAATGGTACAAAAATAGGTCGACTACGAAATAGCACGAAATAACAGGCAGACTGGAGTCGAACCGATCAAATATCTGCAACATGCACTGACTCACTGCTCTCTCACACGCCTCGCACTCTGTGTTGCTGTGTTTACTCGCTCGAGTTTGTCTCAAAGGCAAGTAGCTGGCTGTGGGGCCCCGCGCGGCCGCGCCTGACTCCCGACGACTTAACTTTCCAAGTCGTCCCCACGTCGTCGGGTCACTCGCCGGCCCTGCTAGCTTCGCGGCATCGCCAACTATTTATATCAGTGCTTCTCTGTAAACTTTACGTCAAACACATTTTCTATTCATGTGTTTAGTTCCTTACATCTTCTAAGTTTCAAACTGATACAATGAGTACACCACGTAGGTACTCTTTTGTTCTGTAACGCAATGTACTGGGGTTGTGTGTGTTGTGGTTCTTCTAGACATATTTCTGTAGTAGCGCAGTAACTCATGTGTCTACCTAAGTATGTACATTTATGAACATTACGTAACCTTCGTCAAGGGATCAGTTTATGATATTTCGTGCAGGAAAACATGAAACTGGTGTAGCTACGTACTAATATAGAATTCTTGAACAAGTTGAGTGTAATGGCGATACACGTAAATAATGTAACAACTAGCAATAATACAAATGGTGTAGTGCTCAATACGGAACATATCACAAAGCGATCAATTTATTCATCAATTCATTATTCACGAGTGTCAGTAGTTGTGTGAGATTAACTCTAATGTTACCTGAGCGTGATGTATCATACAAAGTACCTATACTATGCCCGCTGGCTTCACCTGTAACGCCCACCCTATAGCATGGTCATTTCTTTGTGTATAGCCGTACAGGTACCCACAAACGTAGTGTTACAATACATAAACCCATACGAACAACGTAATTAAATCAATTCCAACAAATATAAAAGCAAGGTATTTTTATTATATTTTCATAAATACAGAATGATTACATCACCGGCAACAACGATCGTCACTACAATGATATACAAAAACAAAGAAACAATAAGCTCCCGATGCCGGAGTTGTGCTGTTAAATCCTAACAAGTGCTCTCCGACTCCTAATTGGATTGTAAATGTAACAGTCGATGACTTGCAGCAGCTGGAATGCTTGAAAGCTGAACCTGAAAGGCTTTAAGTAGGCGGAACATGGCCCGGCAGCTGGCACTGACCTCATCCAGCGCCCTCTACATTTTAAGCCCCAACGTTTTATGTATTCATCGCAAAGCAGCTTAACTCGGCCGTCGGACGAATTGATCCCCTCCTCCTGCGGGATTGATTTAAAAAAATGATGAACTTTCTCTGCATAACGTTCTGACAACATTTTAATAATTATTCTCTCGTAGTTCGTGCAGACTCTATTGTAAGGTAGGACATCGGGTAAGATATCGAACTGTGGTCTTGAATATGATTGAACTATTTAGTTTAATGTGTCTATAGATGTTGAATTATCGCAGTATCTATAGGTGGTCGTGGTTCTGAGTCCAACTTTCGGCTTCCCCCTGATCAATGAACTGACAGGCGACCACTAGGCAATAAACTGTCAGTACCTAACGCAGTTACCAGCGGGTGTCGGTGTGCAGCGCCCGGCCTGTGACGGCCATAATTCGGTGCCCGGGAGAGTGCTTCATGATTTAACGCATACAATATAACTTTAATACGTACAATCGTACATACGTATCTACTGTCATCGACAATAATTAGTGCCCGATAGGTCTACTAGATAAATACGTCTTTTTATGAACTATTATTAAATTACACTTTGACTGTTGTCTTTTCAACAATGGAATTAATTTATGTTTACAATAATAAGTGTTCGACTTCATGGAACTGAGCAAAACAGAGAAGAACAACAACAACGTTCGATAC